CAGGTGGCCTGGACTGGGAACTGGGTTCAGATCTGGCCTCCATGTGAGTGTGGCCAAGTGTGGGTGCTTCCTTAGCCCCTGAGCCTGCAGGGGTGGCACAGGACAGCTGGGCCAGTCTTCATCAAGTGTCCTGGATCAGGCTTGAGCCTGGGCCACCTATGTGTGGACTACAGTTGGGGTCAGGGCCTTGTGGAAAAACACAGGGCCAAGGGTAGTGCTCTCAGTCCCACTGGAGATACGCAGGGCAGTTGGTGCCCCATGCCGGGCACGCAGGTGAGTTAGGGTGTGCTGCGGAGGGGCCTTGGGCCCACCGAGTCCCTCTGTGACTTTGTTATGGGGCTGGCCTCCAAGAATCTTCTGGGTAGCTCTCAGGCTGCAATTGGGGTGGGGGCTTCTTTGGTCCCTGGCCTGGGCCCTGAGTGTAACTGGTGCTGCTGGGTGGCTCTGTGTGGCTGTGGAAGGGTCCTGGCTGGCTTGGAGGGGGCAGGGTACTCCCCCAACTGTACTGGCTCTTTGGGAGCAGCCTCCCCACTCTGTGTCAGGAGTCGGGTAGGTGACCCTCCTGGTTTGGGTGGTCAGGCCTGCCTGCATCTCAGTGGGCCTGAATCCAGAGGGACCAGGGGCCTGGCAAGTGGCCTCTGACTGTGCTGGTCTTGGCTCAGCTACACTGTGTGGTGACAGAGCTGCCCAGGGCTGGGACTCCCCTGTGACGTCCCCAGCTTGGGACACTGGCTCACTAGCAGCTGCAGTTCCTTCCAGAGTCAGAGGTGGGTGAGGGTCACCTGGTCCCCAGGGCAGCGAAGGGAGCCTTGGGCAGAGCCATTCATCAGGCGGATTAGCTGGGCCTTCCCTCCTGGTCAGAGGAGGATTACAGCCTGGGGCTGCTGAGGAGGTGGCAGGAGTCTGGGGTGCCGGGGCTTCTTCCCTGCTCCCTGTAATAGAAACAGTCCCGGCAACAGTGTGGGGCTGGGGCCAGGCCCACTCACTCTGGGACCCCTCCCAGAGCCCCTGTCCAGGCGCCCACGTCCCTCCCTGGTCACAGTGGGAGGCCAGTGGGTGACTTGAGGAAGGAGGGCAGGGGAAGGAGTGCTGCCGCCTGGGATGGGCCCAGGCCAGGGGAGAGCAGGTGTGTCGGGGTGGGGGAGCCCCAGGCCAGGGGAGAGCAGGTGTGTCGGGGTGGGGGAGCCCCAGGCCAGGGGAGAGCAGGTGTGTCGGGGTGGGGGAGCCCCAGGCCAGGGGAGAGCAGGTGTGTCGGGGTGGGGGAGCCCCAGGCCAGGGGAGAGCAGGTGTGTCGGGGTGGGGGAGCCCCAGGCCAGGGGAGAGCAGGTGTGTCGGGGTGGGGGAGCCCCAGGCCAGGGGAGAGCAGGTGTGTTGGGGCGGGGAGCCCCAGGGCAGAGGGGAGCAGGTGTGTCGGGGTGGGGGAGCCCCAGGGCAGAGGGGAGCAGGTGTGTCAGGGTGGGGGAGCCCCAGGCCAGGGGAGAGCAGGTGTGTCGGGGTGGGGGAGCCCCAGGCCAGGGGAGAGCAGGTGTGTCGGGGTGGGGGAGCCCCAGGGCAGAGGGGAGCAGGTGTGTCGGGGTGGGGGAGCCCCAGGGTTAGGGTTAGGGTTAGGGTTAGGGTTAGGGTTAGGGGTTAGGGTTAGGGTTAGGGTTAGGGTTAGGGGTTAGGGTTAGGGTTAGGGTTAGGGTTAGGGTTAGGGTTTAGGGTTAGGGTTAGGGTTAGGGTTAGGGTTAGGGGTTAGGGGTTAGGGTTAGGGTTAGAGACGGTCGGAGCAGGTCAGCAGGGAACCGTGGTGGCCTCCCCGCATGCCCAGGGCCGAGGAGTGTGGTGGCCCTGGAACACCATGGGTAAGGGCCACGCCCTCTTGCCCAGCCTTGGTGTCCAGAGGCCCTGGCACCCCCAGAGCTTGGCCTGCTTCCTCTGCCTGGCTCTAGTCCTGCTGCTCCCCGGGGTTCCAGGCTCCCCCTCCCCAGGTGGCCATGCTGTCGGGGGCTCCTGCCGCTTGTCTTTCTGGGGACTCTGGGGCTCGTGCCCCTTCCTGTCCCAGTGGCTGAAGGTGCCCTAAGCCAATGCAAGGCAGAAAGAGCAGAGCTGCTGCTGACCTCCAGCCAGCAGATGAGGTAGGGCCTCTGGCCAGGGCTCCTAATTGGAGTCTGGGTTTGGCTTTGAGTTGATTATATCGGATCTCTGTGGCCAGCTTCCTGCTGCCCAGGGACAGGCAGGCCAGGGCCACTCGGGCTGGCTGGGACAGGAGGCCCAGAGGTCCTCATCACAGTGAGTGCTGTGGTCATACAACAGCTGCCCCCGGCAGGGCTGGTCTGTGCTGTCGTGTGGGGCCTGGCCGGGGGAGCTGGCCAGGGAGATGCCCAGAGATCCCGGAGGTGTGGAGTCCTCCATTTCCCTCCTCTGCCCCAGGGCAGCCCGAGCACTGTTTGCTCCTAGGACATGTGGCTGCCCTGGGGCTGTCTGGGCAGGTTGTGGCTCCGCTGGGACCTTTGGCCACTTGGCTGGTGGATAGGTGGGCCCTCGTGGAGCCTGACCCCTTCCCAGGTCAGGAGGCAGGCCTGGTCTCAGGGGCACAATGAAGTGGTGACTGGAAACAGCTGCCCCATGGCTCAGCCCCGTGGGCGAGGGGAAAGGCCAGGCTGGACGGCCAGCAGGGGCCTAGGGCTGGGGAGGACCTGGGGAGCCACAGACAGAGCTCAAGGGCCCTGCGCTCACCCCCCTGTGCTGGGAGCTGGAGCACAGAGGTGTCCTGTGTGACCTGGGAGAATGGCCGGGCAAGTGGCCTGCAGAAGCTGGTCACTGGGCCATGGGCTGTGCCACTTCTGCCCCCGCTGTGGGCCTGCTCCCTCCTGGCTTTGGGACCCACTTGGAGGTCCCCGTAAGCGTGAGGCTTGGGGTGGAGCAGAGAGGAACAGACACAAGCCTTGGGCACCCAAGGTAGGCAGGACCTGGTAATGGCCCCAGGGGTGGACCCATGAGAACCACCTCAGGCCTTGGGGTGGTGTCTCTGGGCCCTGGGAGGGGCCCATCTGTCCTGCTGTCCTCCCTTAGTCCTCAGCTGAGACTTGAGGCCTGGGGCCCAGGACAGCCTGCTGCCTTCCCCATGCCCCCTTGCAGCCGGGCGTTCCCTTGGCCTAAATCCTCTGGACGCTGGGTTGGATCCAAGCAGGATTAGCCGGGATTGGTCTGAGGTCGGGGCACCGAGGCTGGCAGCTCCCCAGCCCCCAGGATGCAGCTTCTCTGGTCTCCCCGGGCCCTGGAGGATGGGCGGGCTGGCCGGGGCCTTCTGGGGCTGCAGGTGGCCGTCGGGCCAATGCAGCGGGGCCTGGGGACAGCCTGGGAGAGACTTGGGGGCTCTGAGGGGGAGGAGGAAGAGGCGGGTCAAGATTGACAGCACAGAGGAGCCCTCGTGCCCAGCACTGCCTCTGCTCGATCTGCTGCCCGGGCCTCTCGGGCCTCCGCGAGCCAGCCCCCACCACTGCCATCACTTGGGGATGTGCTGGACCGTGGGAGCCGTGGCCCACCTGGCAGAGGTGCTTCTCTGGGTGGGAGGGAGTGTGGTAGTGTTATCGTGGGGCAGGTTGACCCACTAGGTAAGAAGGGCCAGGGAGCGGTTTCCCTGCTGAGGACTGGCCAAGCTCCACAGGGCCATGGGGCTGTCCAGGTGCCTTGGGACAGTAGGGGCTGCTCTTGGAGGTGCAAGGGGCCTGGGGTCTCCCATCCCACCCTGCATCAACCAGGTCTCTCTCTGGGGATGAACAGGGTCCCGCAGTGTCGGCTGTTTCACTCTGGGTACCCCAGCCTCCTGGAGGCTGAACCCGGGGTGGGGGGGGGAAGCCAGCAGGGCCAGTGCTGGGGCCTGGAGGAATGTGCTGGGGAGCGCTCGGGTGCTCCAAGCTGCCTTCCAGGGTGTCTGGGGCACCTTCTGCTCAGGCAGGGTGGGCTGCTGTGCTGAGCTGGCCAGGAGGGCCCCTAGGCAGGTGAGACTGAACGAGGAGGCGCGCTGTGCTCAGGGAAGGCCTGGCATCGCGTCCTGTGGCCCCCGGAGGCTGCGGTCAAGGCTCTCTGCCTCTCCAGCCTGCTCTGCTGGCAGAGAGGGCCTCATCCAGCTTCAACCCTCCAAAACCCTGTGGTGGCCTCAAGGACCTGTGTGTCCCCTGTCCCTGCTGCACCAAGCAGTCATACCTGTGTCTTCCTGGGCCTTGCTCCCTGTGAGTGCGGAGCCTGCGGCTCCTTTTTGCTTGTGGTCGGCACTAGCTCCCTCCTCAGAGTCCTCAGGTGGAGCTGCCCAGGTCCCCTGCACCACCCACCAGGGGTCCCTCCCTATGTGCGTCTCACGGGGTTGGACACTGTTGAGCATCAGCAGCGTAGCTCTTAGGGCTTGGGCTTTCTGTAAGCAGGTATGCAGGGCTTGGGGGCAGATACTGACCTGTCCCTGGGCCAGGGCCAGCTGACCCTGGCCTGGACTCCTTAAAGCCTATGGCCCCCTCTCCTGTGGACAGAAAAGGGGGATGACTAGTCCCTCGGACCTCAGATCTGTGCCCTCATGCAGGGCCTCCTTCTGTGGCCTTGGGGAGTAGACAGTGGAGTGTCCTTGCTGCCCCCTGGGGAGGAGGAGGTTCCTGGGGATGCCACAGGAAGAGGGTGCTGGCTCTCAGGTGTGGCCTCTGGGCATGGGTAGCACCTGCTGGGTCTGCCCTATGCCTGGCTTAGGGGTCTCTTCTGCTCAGTGGCTCCCGAGAGCCAGGCTGGCCACTGGGCCCTGTGTCTAGCTGTGGGCTTTCCGTGCTCGTTCAGTCTGAGTGGTGGCCCTTCAGGGTCCAGACTGACTGTAGCATCGTCCAGGTGTTTCTGGGATGGGCCACGGCCCAGCAGAAAAGGGCAGGTCCTCCCTGGGGTCTCGCCTGGCCCCAGCCCTGGGTGGGTGGACAGGGGGTAGGTAGGGCCCGGGCTGCCACAGCTCTCACGGCCCTGAGGTCTGTTTCTGCTGTGTCCAGTGGAGCGGTGCATGAGCAGCATGCAGGAGGGGACCCAGATGGTGAAGCTCCGAGGCGGCTCCAAGGGCCTGGTCCGCTTCTACTACCTCGACGAGCATCGCTCCTGCCTCCGCTGGCGGCCCTCACGCAAGAACGAGAAGGCCAAGAGTGAGTGGGCAGCTTGGGGAGCGGGAGGGACAGTCCCAGACTCAGGAGCCCTTCCAGAGCAGCTGCTGGACAGTTGGGCGCTGAGCCTCTGCGACTAGGGTGTCTCTCGACTCAGGTGGCTTTGGAGTTCCACGGTAGCCTCTGGACTGCAGGGCGGGAGGGGCTGGGGCTGCTCATGGGCAGGGTCCTGGGGTGAGGAGGGCTGGGGGCAAGCAGCCCAGAGGGGGAGAAGAGCAGCCTGAAGACAGGAAACAAGACCTGAGCCAGGCGCCCGGGGTGGGGCTTGGGCACCAAGCCCTGGCCCAGGCAGCCTGGGTGGGAGCACGAGGGGAGATGCTGGCCAGCTTTGTGCAGGGGCAGATGGGAGAATCCGGACACTGAGGGCGAGGTAGGAGGCCAGGGTGGGAGGGACACTTGAGCCTTACAGACCAGGGGTAGGTCTGTCCAGTGCCTGCTCTGGCTTTGCTGAAGGGCAGTATCCAGGTGTGCCAGGGAAGAGCCTCCGTCTCGTGGTCGCCAAGCACACCACCACAGAGCCCCAGGAGGGAACATGGTGAGGATGTCCTGGATTGATGGCTCCTCCAGACCCCTGGGTCCTGGGAGGTGGAGCCTCCCTAAGGCTGCTCAGACAGGAGAAGCCCCAGCGGTCAGGGATGTCCACTCTGTGCTGGGCACTGTTCCTGGCACTGGGCTTCCTGTGGGAACTGAGGCGTGGAGCTGGTGTGGTCATGGTGAGGTGGGCCTTTGCTCACGGTACCGACCACTGAGAAACCCAGGAGGAGCGGGGGAGCAGGCAGACGCAGGTCAGGGAGGCTGCGGGGAGCAGCGGGGGCAGAAACCAGCAGCCTGGGCTGGGGCCCCGCCAGCCTCCCCTACCCCGGAGACCCAGCTGGTGCTTGGAGCCCCCCTGGCCATGAAAGCCTCCCAGTGGGGCAGGAGCAGCGTGGGCCAGCTGTCCTCTGAACCCGTATCCCGCCACATGCCAGGGTTAGAGAAAGGCCAGCGGGCAGCGGGTGGCAGGGGCAGCAGCTGTGCTGAGCCCGGGGTGCCTGGTGCCCAGGGGGGCTGCCTGTGGCCTGCACATCTGGGAGGGTCCTGCCGACACCTGACAGGACCTGAGCCACGTGGCTTCCCTCTGCACCACTCCACACCTGCCAGGACTTGTCACAGAGGCAGCTGAGGGACTGAAAAGGAGCTCACCTGAGCTGGACGGGTGGACGGGCTCCTGGGAGTCCCGAGTCGGCCAGGCGCCTCTCAGGAGGGAGGAGGGGCTGCGGGGTCAGAGCCGAGCCGCAGGGGGTCCTCATACTCCTGAAAAGGCTGGGGGCCCCCCCCCCGCAGGCGCGGAGGTCAGAGCCCCATGGTGTTCAGCCCGGGCAGGCAAGAGATGCCTGGCCCCTGGGAGGCCCTGACCAGCCCTCCCCACCACCCGCAGTCCCCATCGACTCCATCCAGGAGGTGAGCGAGGGGCGGCAGTCCGAGATCTTCCAGCGCTACCCCGACGGCAGCTTCGACCCCAACTGCTGCTTCAGCATCTACCATGGCAGCCACCGGGAGTCGCTGGACCTGGTCTCGCCCAGTGGGGAGGAGGCACGCACCTGGGTGACCGGCCTGCGCTACCTCATGGCTGGCATTAGTGACGAGGACAGCTTGGCCCGCCGCCAGCGCACCAGGGACCAATATCCTTGGACACTGGAGTAGGGACAGAACCCAGGAGCAGACCCCTCGACTGTCCACCTGGGTGGGGCTCCTGCCCCTCGCGGGGTCGTTTGAGGAAGGAGGATGGGAGGGGCGCATGGGCTGGGGTCCTCCCTTCCGGCTGCCTCGGCTGCAGGGTGGGGCGGCGTGTCCAGGCCTGGGACCCTCATTGGCCCCTAACTCGGTGCCCAAGTGGCTGAAGCAGACGTTCGACGAGGCGGACAAGAACCGGGACGGCAGCCTGAGCATGGGCGAGGTGCTGCAGCTGCTGCACAAGCTCAACGTGAACCTGCCCCGGCAGCGCGTGAAGCAGATGTTCAGGGTGAGCCCAGGGCAGGCCCTGCCATCACCACAGGGGCTGCCAGGGTCCCGGGCGCACCAGGGGAGCTGCGCACGGGTTCTTCAGCAGAGGAAGGGGAAGGCACTCCCCCAGCTGGGCCTCTGCCAGCTCCGGGGAAGGGGCTGGGCACAGAACACAGGCCCGGCCCCACATCTGGGCACTCGGGGCAGGCATGCGGGGTCCCAGCCCCCACGATCCCTGGGTCTCAGAATGCCTTGGCCGGGGCAGGGCCCCTACTGGCCTAGAGGCTCCGGTGAGCTGACGCATGCTGCCTTGGACAACCGCCTGGTGCTAGACGTTATGAAAATGCACCCCACAGGGAAGCGGAGGCCTTTGCTGCCTGTAATTAGTTCTTTCTGGAACCTCTGTGAGCTGAGGAACTCTGCTGTCAGCAGGTCCTGTTTGGGGCAGGAATGGACTGAGCCAGCACCAGGCCCTGGGCCTCCTCGCCTTACTGCAGCCTGGAGAGGGGCTCATGAGCTTCAGCACCACGCCTCCCCCCAACACGTATGCGTACACTCACACACAAGCGTGCTCACAGGTCCACGCTCGTGGCCTGACAGCACCGCTCTGTCCAGTTTCCTGTGCTCTCCTGCTAGACAGGTAGTCATGCCTGGCTGGAGTGAGGATGGCAGCAGATCTGGCCCACGTCTGTGATGGGCTGGTGCTGTCAGACTGCCCACCGAGGACTGCAGAGGCCCCTTGGGGACAGAGACTGCCTGGGCAGTGGGACTGGAGCATGGCTCACGTCTGGTGTCAGCAACCCCCTCCCCCTGACTGCTTGGGGACGGCCCAGCCCCGCCCCTTCCGGGCCTCTGGGGGCAGCTCTGGGTGCAGCAGTCCCTTCCTCCAGGTGAGGCTCCTGGGACCAGGCAGCAGAACCCCGGGGAGCCTCACAGGTAGGAGGAGGAGGAGGAGGAGGGTCGGCCCTTGTTGGATGGGCCTGCTGAAGGTGCAGCTCAAGGTCGCGGTTTGACCTGTGGCGGACCTCTTGCAGCCCGTGCTTGCCCACCCTGTCACGAGCACCCTGGGCCTCTGGGCACTCGTGGGCTCTCAGGGTCCCTCTGTGCAGTTCCAGGCCTGGCTGTGCCCTGGCACCACCAGATTGTCTGGAGGAAGCCCTGGGCTGGCAGTTGGAGTGGGTAGCAGGGGTCAGGCTCCAGGGCTCTGGAGAGGAGAAGGTGGTACCTCACACCCCAGAACCCACGCAGTTCAGACCCAGTGGTCCTTGTCCATGGAGGTCAGCCAGCCGGAGATGGCCCCAGTGCCTGAGCACCTGCTCTCCCAGCCCACTCGTGCCGCAGACCTCTGCTGGTGCTGGAGCCACAGGAAGGGAGCGTGGCTCCAGCCAGGCTCAGGTCACTCTGATAATTAGCATCAATTTGTTTGTAAGAAAAAAATCTTGATATTATTTCCAGCTGCCTGGAACTGCCCAGTCAGAGTGGAGATTGATTCGACTCCAACATAATTTCATTAAACCCAAGAACGCTGGAATGTGGGGTGACCAGCGCCCACCCTGTGCCCGGCCGCCCAGAGCACCCTTGGGCTGCAGAGACCTGGCTTGGCAGAGGGCTGGGGGAGCGCATCAGCCCTGTGGCTGGCAGCAGCACTGCCAAGGGTGGCCATGTTGCTGGGGGTGGGGTCAGGCCCCCTTTTTCTTGGGGGGGGAGGGACCTTAAGAGCATTTCACTCACTGGTGAAGGACAGAGCTCTGTGCTCACTGGTGACTGGCAGATGTCCTGCCTGGACTTGAGGCCATGCTGCTCAGCCCAGTGGGCAGTAGGTGATGCTCGCCCTGGGATGCGGCTGCTCGACAGTGGGTGACCAGCCCAGCTCCTCTCTCAGAAAGGGGCCTCTGGCCTGTAGTGGGCATGGTCTGGTTGTCCTGGGTGAAGCCGTTAGCTCTCGGACTCAGGGCCGCCCTCCTATCTAGCGTCAGACACACGAGGTCCCGTCTGTGCCTGCCGGGCCTTGGGGCCTGTGGCCTTGGGCTGTCCTGGCCTTGGCCTGGGACGCAGCACAGACACTGGGGTCCCACTGCACACCCATGTCTGGGCCAGGCCTCAGCCAAGGAGTGGGCAGCAGGGAGCACGAGCCAGGGCCAGCTCGCCCCAGAGCCCTCTCACGGAGGAGGGGACTGCTGGGCTGCCGGGCGAGTGTCCTGCATGGAGGGCTCCTCGGGGAACCTGTCATCATCTCCTGGGCACACTAGGCTGTATGGCCACACGGGGAAAGGCCGTCCTGTGGCTGGCAAACCCAGCATGTGCAGCTGTCCATGGTGATAGGCCTGCCTCCCTTCTGGCCCCACCTGTGGACATGGTCATAGACCTAGCCTGGGGGATGGCGCCTGTGGTCTGCTCCCTCAGTGCCCACATGGGTTCCTCCTGGCCCCCCTGAGAGCCCTGGATGGGCTACTGAGAACCTAAACCCCCTCAGCCCACTGATGGCTCTGGGCAGGGGACCCTGGGCTGGGTCTGAGTGCCTGCCCAGGAAGCCTCAGGTGGCCACGGCTGTGGAGGGGCAGACTCGGTGCACTTCCATCCAGGATGCTCTCCACTTCACAGAGGACTGGACCTGGACGTTTCGTGCAGGCCCAAGGACTCCGAGTACCTCTGGATGCTGCTGGTCAGGCACCTGAGTGCCCAGGCCTGGGGTGCCAGGGCCCAGGACAGAGCCTGCCTTTGGGCAGATGGTCAGTGGAGGGCCAGGATTGAGGCAGGAGGCTGAGCCGTGGCCTGGGCCCCCAGACGTCCTGTGCTGCTGAGCACCTAGGCAGGCATGTGTCCAGCCCAGGGCCACCCCAGCCCAGGCCATGAACACTGCCACTCTGTGAAGTGCAGGGTCCCTCTGGCCAAGCCCTCTTTGGTGAGAGGGCTGGTCTGGGTGCCACGCCAGGGCCCCTCACCTCCAGGCCAGGAGTGGGCTTGGCCTGCCCACCCACCCCACCCTGGTCACCCAGCCTTTGCAGGGCTCCAATTCCTAGGGAACAAAGGCCTCAACTAGCCTCCTCCACTGTGGCCTTGCTGACCCTCCCAGGGACCCCTTGGGCCCTGTGGTGCCTTAGGTCCCCTCTGGGCAGCCCAGCTTTCAACGAGGGGTGCCCTTGCGCTCCAGGTCTGCCCCGGGCTGACCCTCGCAGGGGCAGGTGCCCCCCACGCCTGTGCAGGCAGAGAGGAGGCCGCGGTTGGTCTCACGGGGCTCCCTTGCGGGATTGCTCATGGCAGCCGTGGCACCTGGGGGAACCCCTCAGGCTTCCTGGGGTTGTCTGGTGCGTCCCTCTTGCTGCCGAAGGCTGAAGTGCCAAGCCATTTACCTCTACCCCGGAGACCCGAGTCAGGGGCTGCTAGCCCCTGGGGCCCTGGCATTTCTGATCAGTGGGCAGCCAGTAGTAGCTGCGGCTGTGGGGCACAGCCTGGGGTGCAGGTCAGCCCCAGTGTGAGGTGGTGGTGACTCTGGTGTGGGGTGGCTGGGGCTGACTCACAGGTGGACCTTGCGAGTCGCCAGGGACGGTGGTCAGATCTGTGTCTTCCAGGGTTGGGGGGCAACAGGGAGCCCTGTGAGCTGGGTGCCCAGAGGGTCTCAGGCGGTGCTGCGGGCAGGGGGGGAGGGGAGGCTGGGCTTGCGCCTGGGGCTGGACGGAGGAGGGGCTGGGCCTGCAGGGCCCCCCTGAAGGCAGGGGCTTGCCTCGTAGGAAGCGGATACAGATGACTGCCAGGGAACGCTGGGATTCGAGGAGTTCTGTGCTTTCTACAAGATGATGTCCACCCGCCGGGACCTCTACCTCCTCATGCTGACCTACAGTGACCACAAGGACCACCTGGACGCTGCCGACCTGCAGCGCTTCCTGGAGGTGGAGCAGAAGGTGAGGCCTGGCCGGGCGTCGCGTGGCCGGCTGCGTGGCCGGCTGCCTGGCCGGGCCTTCAGCTCCGCTCAGCGTCTGGGCCTGGGGACAGCCCAGCAGCTGAGGCCAGCAAATTTGCTTCAGTGTCAGTTTTCCAGGGTGCAAACCACAGGGGGGGCTGCCAGGTGGGCGGGGCCTCTGTCCAGCTCTGTCCTGACTGAGGACCCCCCAGCCTCCAGATGGGGCCCACAGCTTGCCCATGGCACCAGCTTCCTGTCGGGTATCTTGAGGACTAAGGTTTGTGGCCCAGCCTTTAGCACTGCTCCTTAACCACAGCGGTCAGCCACAGAGGCCGGACTGGCTCTGGGCCCATGTCCGCCTGTACACACCTGGGTGTCCAGCAAACACCAGATGCTACCTCTTTATCTTGACCCAGGAAGTTGGTCCACATCAGAGGCCCATACCAAGCTGAGTGGTCCCTGGGAACTGCCCCACTGGGTCAGGTCTCCTGTCCCAGGCCCAGATACTCCCTGGGTGGCAGGACTGCAGGTCCAGCCCAATGGGGCAGAGTGCCCTGTGGGAGGGGCTCAGACAGTGTGGGGCCCTGCTGTGCTGGCCTGGACCTGCCCTCCTGCCCCCCATAGGCCCTCTCAGGGAGGAGGGCAGGGCAGGGTCAAGCCTCAGGGCGGCACAGTACCTGGGCACAGCTCAGGCCTCTGCTGGGCCTAGCCTCCTACTTCCAGTCAGGTAATGGTGATGGCCACGGGCAGCTGCCCAGGGAGTGTGGCAGGTGGTGGCAGAGCAGCAGGAGGGGACCCGAGGCGGGGCTCGCGAGGGGCCATTATCGGTGCCCTCCGCTGCCCCTGCATGTCCTCCCCCATCCTGGGTCAGCCCTAGGGGCTACCCTGGGCCTGTGGTCCCAGTTCCCCTCCCACCTCACGGTTTGCTGGGCTCCATCCCATGGAGACCACGTCGGACCCCTTTCCTGTCCTCCTGGCAGGACACTTGGTGGTTGTGTCCAGGAGAGAGAGGCTGGCTCCTGGGCTAGGTCCTACCGTCCTGGGTGACCTGCTCCCGCCTAGCCACTGTGGGCGGCATTGGTATGAGGCTGTGGGATGTGGCCCTGGACAGCAGGCCTTCTGTCCTGGCGGGAGGGGGGCCCAGATAGGGATGGACAGAACTGACTCTCTCCCTGACCTTAGCTCCAGGCTTCCCAGAACTTTCCCTGCAGCCGGGGGCCCCCTGTCCTCTGGGCAGGTGGTTTGAGCCCTTGGCCTAGCCTCCAACTCTGGGCTTCCCACGGGACATGGCCGGCTCAGAGATCTGACCCCACTTCGCCCACTCTGCACTGTTGCCTGGCCCTGGGGACTTCCCAGAACCCCCCTGGGCTGTCCTGGCGGGAGAGCTCCCGGTCTTGACGGCACAGGCGCTGGAGGCCGCTGAGCCTCCGTGCTGGGCCTTCCTGAGCCGGGCTGTATTGCTCAGCTTCCCAGGAGGGTCACTGGGCAGGGATTGGCTGGAGCAGGCCAGGGAAGATGTGCAACCTGTGCCCAGGGGCCCTGGCAGGTGGGGTACGTCCTCCCTGTCCCATGCTGCCCACGTGGGCCTTGGCTCCACACCAGGCCCCAGGGCACAGCCAAAGACCCCTTCTGGAAGAGACCTATCAGGGAACGCTCTTCAAAAGTCACGTGACCCTCTGGTCCTCTGGTCCCTGAGTCCTAGGCAGGGTGGCCTGGGTTGGTCTCCAGCCCACACGTGTTGCTCCCACTGTGGTCAGTCCTGATGTGACCAGAGACAACAGGGGCAAGGGCTGGTGGTGACGGTGGGTGGAAGGGAGAGCTCCGCGGGGCACCCCAGACCAGTGATGGGCTAGCCTGGACTCTCGCCCCTGCTCTGGCCTAGATGAAGGGTGTGACGCTCGAGAGCTGCCGGGACATCATTGAGCAGTTTGAACCCTGCCCAGAGAACAAGAGCAAGGGGGTGCTGGGTATTGATGGTGAGTGGGCACTGCCCCGAGGCCAGGGCACTTGGGAGGAGGACGGGCACTTGGGAGGAGGACAGGCACTGGAGGGGTGGCCTGCAGGCCTGGACCATGGCTCTGTGCCCCTTGAGGTGGGGCAGGAGGCGATGAGAGGGGCTGGGAGCAGTGCTGACCCCTCCCCTCCTCCCTGCACTGTGTGACCACAGGTTTCACCAACTACACGCGGAGCCCGGCAGGCGACATCTTCAACCCGGAGCACCACGGTGTTCACCAGGACATGACGCGGCCGCTCAGCCACTACTTCATCACCTCCTCCCACAACACCTACCTCGTGGGCGACCAGCTCATGTCCCAGTCCCGGGTGGACATGTATGCCTGGGTCCTGCAGGCCGGCTGCCGCTGCGTGGAGGGTGAGCCCGTGCCTGCCCTCCCCGGCCAGTCTGGGCCTGGCCGGAGCGTGGCGTCTCCTGTGGGAGGTGGTGGGCAGAGTCTCTGGGCGGGGGCTAGAGTCCAAGGACAGCCCACCCTGCTTGGTGGCTGAGCCCCAGGCCTGACTGGGGTCTACCTGCTGCAGTGGACTGTTGGGACGGGCCTGACGGGGAGCCCATCGTGCACCACGGCTACACTCTGACCTCCAAGATCCTCTTCAAAGATGTCATCGAAACCATCAACAAATATGCCTTTGTGAAGAATGAGTGAGTGGCCATGCTGGGGGTCTGGCCAGGGGCTGTAGGAGCCAAGAGGCAGGTCTTGTTTTAGGGTCTGTCTTTGAGGAGAGAGGGCAGGGAAGTGAGTCTGGGGAGAGGGCTGGCTGGTGCATGCAGGGGCCCCAGAGCCCGACAGGCCAAGGCTGCGCAGGCTCGTGTGTCTGCAGCCTGTTCGCGCACTTGGGGCACCACCCCCTGGTCTCAGCCATCCACCTGCGGTGGCTGAGAAGCCACACTGTGTCCAAGCTAAATTTGCTGTCACTCAGCGGTGGCTGCAGAAACTATTGAGGAAAATCCAATTTAGTTTCTGGAAGTAGAAGGCCGCCTCCCTGCCAATGAACTCTCCCCACGTCCTGGCCAAAGAGGCTCAGGCGAGGAAGGAGCTGAGTGGAGGAGGGAAGCAGGAACCCAGCTGATTTAGGAAACAGGAAGGGCGTGGCCCTCCCAGGAGAGCTGGCCTGCGGTCCATGTCCAGCTGCGGGGCAGGCAGCAGTGAGGAGGCCTCTGCTGGCAGCGGGACACCAGGGACTGCAGGCGAGGAGAGTGCTGCGGGGCAGGTGGTTGGACACACAGGGGTCCGGTGTCTTTGCAGGAACCAGGCATCTCTGCAGCACCCTCCCCCCGCATCAGGCTCCTCCCCTGAGGTCCCCGTGTGCCCCTCCGCATCTCACCTCTGCCCACCTCTTGCTCTGGTCTGTGCCCTCTTGGCCTGGGTCACCTGCATTTTCTACAAGGTCATGATCACCTTGTGTAAAAGGACTTGGCTGGAAAGTTGTGCGCTGTCCTCCCCGCTCCGCGCTGTGCTGGCCATAGCCCTGTCCAACAGCTGGCACGGGCCAGGCTGTGTCCCCTCCTTTATGGAGCATGTGAGGGCCTCGGGCCCCATAGCCTCCAGTATCCAGGTCTCGCAGTCTGGCCTCTGTTCTGCATTGTTTAGCCCATGTTATTTTTAAACCTTGACTTTTTGTTTTCCTGGAGTTTCTAATTGCCTTTATTTATTTATTTTTCTAATTTGGGGAAGAAGCTCCTCCTTCTTTATTTGTTCCCAACCCTCCAGCTCCTTCTCTATTAACTCATTGGTTTTTCCAACTTTAGGCGGGGGGCATTTTTTTCTTCATTACCAGGGACTAAACCCAGCAGTGCCTAACCGCGGAGTCACATTCCCAGCCATACCCCACTCCCATTTTTTAAAAAATTCTCTTGAGATAGGGTCTTGTTAAGTTGCTGAGGGTCTCACTCGGCTGCTGGGGTGGCTTTTCACTCCCCATCCTCCTGGTTGGGCTGTACCGTGAAGCAGCTGGCAGACCCATCTTCCTGGGCTGGGTGAGGACCCTTTCTCCATCAGTGGCAGAGGTGCCCAGGGCCTAGCCCTCGCCCTGGTGCTGGCCTCAGAGCATGCTCCTCGTGCACTGGGGCCACAGGTATCCAGTGATCCTGTCCATCGAGAACCACTGTAGTGTCGTCCAGCAGAAGAAGATGGCCCAGTACCTGGCTGACATCCTCGGGGACAAGCTGGACTTGTCATCAGTGAGCAGTGAGGATCCTACCAAGCTTCCTTCTCCGCAGATGCTCAAGGGCAAGGTCCTGGTGAAGGTGAGCCGCCTGCCACCAGGCCACAGCAGGCCTCTGACCTGGGCGGGCTGGGCGTCTCCCTGCTGCAGGCAGGTCCGGGGGGCCGGGCCCGGCGGGGCCTCATTCTCCCCGTGGTGCCGGTCCGCTCAGGAACCTCACACCCAGGACTGTTTCCTTCCCGCGGCTGCTGCTCCGGGAAGTGCCTGGTCAGAGCGGGAGGGCAGCTCCCTGCTCTTGCCGGCTGCTGCTGTGGCTGCAGGTGAGGCTCTGTCTCCCTCCGCCCCCAGGGGAAGAAGCTCCCAGCCAACATCAGTGAGGACGCAGAGGCCGGTGAGGTGTCCGACGAGGACAGTGCCGACGAGATTGACGAGGACTGCAAGCTCCTGGATGGGGATGTGAGTGGCCGCGGGTGGGGGAGCCAGGCAGCCGAGGGGTGGCCACAGGCAGGGGCCGAGCTGCGGTGCAAAGCTGCCCGACTGCAGGGAGGCCTCCCACGGGGGCTGGGGGCCCTGGCGGCCTGCCACGCCCCTCCCCATGAGAAACACAGAACCCGTGCTCCCAGTCGTGGGCCAGCCCCCCCCCCCGCCTGCTGGGGTCCTGTTTTGGTCCCCGCTTCTGAGTTGACTTGGGGTGAGATCCACTACCCACCCGCAGTCTGCTTGGCTCTTCAGCAGGTGGGTGCCGAGTCCTGCCGAGCTGGACTCTGGGTGGCCAGCGGTCCTGCTCCACCTCCCCCATGCCCAGAACTGGCCCCACTCCAAGCAGTGCCAACCCCAGGGCCAAGAGCTCCTGCAAGACAAGCCCGCTGGCCCGGTGGGTCCTGCTGTGACCCTCCACAGAGCGCTCTGCACCTCTTTCTGCAGCCGGCCTGGCCGCTTGGCCTGGGAGTTGCAGAGGGAGCTCGGGTCTTTGGGGACCGTGGCTGTGCAAGGCTGGGGCTCCGTAACCGGCGCCTCTCCTCTTCTGTGCCTGGCTCCAGCTGCGGTGGCTGTGAGGCAGCAGGACTACTCTCCCCCAGGGCTATTGGAGGGAAGATGTTGTACAGGAGGCTTCCCGGCCTGGGCGGCTAATTGTCTTAGGAAGCCCCGAGGCAGCAGAATCCATCCCACTCTGGGCAAGCCTGCGTGTCTGCCTGGCCCCAGGGGTGCACACCACGATGGTGTGTCCACTTAGTGCCCACTCCAGCAGGGCTCCCTCGAGGGGTCCAAGGGCATCAGGTCATGCTGGGGGTGCCCTGGTAGGGAAAGGCACCTGACCAACCTGGAAGCTCCTCTGAATTCCACCCCTTGCCCCCTGTCCACCTCCTCAAGTTTGGTGGAACCTGTGTGGGCTTCTAGATCCTGTGTTGCCCACCAGGTGCCCTGACCTGCTCCCCTGAGGCCCACTGGACGGGGCACCAGGAGCGCCTGCGGCATCCCCAGGGCAGTCTGTACCCTGAGGAATCAGATGGACTTGGGTCCAAGTTCTGCCCACTGCTGTTTGCAGACGGGCCCCAGTCAGACAAATCACAGCCTTTGTGAGCTGTGTAATGGGGGGGGTGCTGGGGCTGTCACCTGCTGCTGCTTGCTGGGCTGGGGATGACACCGAGGGGCCGGCCTCTGGCTCTTGCAGGCCTCCACCAATCGGAAGCGTGTGGAAAACATCGCTAAGAGGAAACTGGACTCTCTGATCAAGGAGTCCAAGATCCGTGACTGTGAGGACCCCAACGACTTCACCATCTCCACACTGTCCCCATCTGGGAAACCTAGGCACAAAGCAGAGGCCAAAAAGGTGAGACCCCCCCTGATGCCCGCAGGTGCTCCAACAGCCAGCCTGGGGTCTGGGTGAGGCCCAGAGCATGAGGTCTAGACCCCCCCCCGCAAGTGCCTACACACAGGTACCCCTGTGCACACACCTGCACACCTGCACCTGAGCCAGACACACCACCCGTGGGTGCCCACACACACCTGATCACAGCTGCACACGGCACACCTCTGCACACATGAGTGCTCCGTGCCCTGAGCTGCTGTGCTTCTCCTTCGTGGGCTCCCAGAGCTGTTGGTCCTGGTTGGCTTCCTTTGTGAGGACTCCTACGCCACCCTCATCCAGGAGCAGAGAGCTGGGGCTTGGGCGGCACTGTTCGTGAGGCTGGGGTCCCGTCCTTCTCAATGCCCCCACTTGACTCTGAGAGCCACAGTCTGGCCGCTGACAGCTTGTGGGTGGGATTGAGCAGGTGGCCCCTGGGGGACCAGTGGCTCCTCTTGGAAGGGAATTTGAGCAATGCCACAGTAGTGAGGGTCCCATGAGTGACAGGGAGGGCATAGTGGGGTCTTGGCAGCTGTCCAGGTGGCCAGGCTCAGCCCTGCCTGGAGCACCCACAGCTGCGTGGGACGGCCACCAGCGACATCATGGAAGAGGAACGTGTTTTCAGGGGTTGGGGTGCCAGGCAGGGTGTCCTGGATGGGTTGTGAGGTGCCTCTTTGGGGGCAGCAGGCCTCAAGGAACAGGTGATCAGCCAAGCTGCCTGAGCAAAGAGGCCATGCACTGCTGGACAGTCCACAGCAGCTGGGCAGCTGGGCCCAGAACTGGGCAGGCCTCTGTGGGGACCCGCAGGCCCTCGGGAGGGGGAAGGGAGGGCATCCCCTGGCTGGGCTGTGACCCCTGCCAGGACTAGTATTTTTGGAGGTGGGTGTTTGTGTTCCTGCCCACGGCCCAGAGCCCACTGCGCGGGAGAGTCCACGGGGGCAGAGAGTCCACGGGAGCCACGGACTCGCTCTGTGCAGGTGGCTCTCGTGGGTCCCTGCACACAGTCTTGCCTTACGTCTCCTGCCCAGATGTCGAGGCAGCAGAGTGTGGCCCTCGTGAGGCTCTGCACAGCCGGAGGTTGATGTTACCCTCTGCTCTCCTTGGCCACGGAGCACCTGGGGGCACCTGTGGCGACATACAGCCCACCTTGGGCCTGGGTGGCAGCAGTGGTGGGGGCTGTGCTCAGAGAGGACTTCCTGGGGGAGGGGAAGGGGCTCAGGCTGAGCTCCGAGGTGGCAGAAGTGGGGGTCCCACCCTGCAGCGTCGGCTGCAGGCTCCTCTCTGTCTTGCCATGACACAGGACAGAGGAGCTGAGACCCTCAGGGACAAGCCAGAGGGACATATGGTGGAGCTAGAAGCAGGGGGACATGGGAGGGCCACAGAGGACTCATTCATCCACCCAGGGAGTCCACAGGGGCCGGGTTGGCAGGCGGGGGGGCACCTGTGGGCACTGTGGTGGAGATGGATGGTCCCGCCATGAGTCACTTGGACCCTCTCTTCTCTGGCTGGGCACTGTCCCCTCTGTATGTGAGGACCCTTGGGGACATGAGGCCCTGCTCAGGGGTCCCTGTGAGAGGGCAGGGTAGATACCGGGGGAATGGGAGAGGACCCCCAGCCCCGGTGCTGGGGCAACTCCGGAGGGTGCTGGACAATAACAGGCCTCACCTTCTGCTGGGGACCGTCCCCAGCTCTAGCAAGGTCCAGCACAGGACCCTCCTCATTGAGGGTGGGCCCGCCAGGCACTGTCTGTAGAATGGCCCCTCGGCGGGTGGCCGGCTGAGCTGTTTCCTGTGGGGACCTGCGACGGGGCCCAGTGTGGGCTGTGGCTAGCTGCCATTGCTCAGGACCACCAGCCACCTCGCCTTAGTTGTGCCCAGATTGGGGTCACATGGGGCTTAGCAGCAGCAGCATTCTGGGTGATGCTTGAAAAGGCTTAACGCACATCAGCCTCAACCAGCTCCCGGCACACCTGGCGCTCAGCCTCCCGCCTCCATCCGTGGAGTAAGGGAGGCTGGGGGTGAGTGTCTCCAAGGCCACTTGGGACAGATAGCCCTGAGCACCCCTGCTACTGTGGACCTCTGGGCAGGAAGCCCACTGACTGGAAGGCTGGGTCAGTGAGGCCCCCGGCTACTCGGCATCAGGAAGGGCCAGCAGACCCAGCCCTACTCCGCAGGAGAGTGAGACGGGTGCAGCCAGCCGGGAGCTGGCGGGAGGTTCCGGCAGGACTCAGTGGGTGTGCCACACAGGGTGTGGGTGTGGGTGGGGACCTGCTGTGCTCTCCCTCCTGTCTGACAGGGTGGCCCCGGGGTGGGGTGGTCCAGGCCCAGGCTGCTCTTGGGAGGACACGGAGCTGAGGGCTCTGCTGTCAGATGCCACAGCAGCTCCCAGCTGCAGCCCTGGAGCATCTGTGAGTGAGGTGAGCCTGCGTGCAGGGGCGTCTGTGTGTGTGCACGTGTGTGTGCAGCTGCACACAGAGGCTCTGTACCGGAGCCCTCCCGTGTGTGTGCTGCAGGACGCCTGTGGCTTCACTCAGGTGGTCCTGGGATGCAGGACCTGCCCCTCCCCACCAAGGTCCCCTGGCGCAGGTGTCGGGATCTTTGCTGCACCCTGGGCACCTCCAGAGCAGAGCTGGGCCAACTTTGGGGGCACGGAATGGACTGGTGGGAGTGGGAGGTGGGGGCTGCAGCAGCCTCGGGGGCAGATGCACAGCTCGGGCTTCCGGCGGCGCCAGCGTGGATGGGCTCAGGGACGGCTGCGTGGACCTGGGGGCCGGGGCCAGTGCTCCCAGGCCTGAGCTCCAGGGTCCCGGGGGGAAGGCCCGTCCTGTGCTCCTGGGATTCGTGGGCATGGACTCTGGCTTTGGGGAGTGGGGCCTGGCGATGCTTGTCTAGCCTGGCACTGCCAGAGGTGGGTCAGGACAGTGGGCTGCAGGGACCTCGAGGAAGGCCTGCGCAGGCGGTCACGGCTGGACCTTCCACTCAAACTGCTTGTCGCATCGTCGCCCTCTGCTGGACACAGGTTCAGAGCCCGGAGCTCGCGCTTGCTTCAGACCACACACTGTTGTGACCTGGCACACGAGTGCAGGCAGCCCTGGGCCTGGGGTCCTGTTCTCCAGCCCCTAGCCTCCCTAAGGCGGGCTCAGCTCTGCCTCTTCCAGGCAGGCTTCCAGGGCTGCAGGGACCTGCCCGGCAGGTGTCGTCCTGGTTTGAGGCCAGGCTCACCCTCTGTCTCTCCCTTGGGGTCAGAGCAAGGCCGAGGAGGACATGGAGTCTGGGGAGGACGCCGGGGCCAGCAGACGGAACCACCGCCTCCTCATGAGCAGCTTCTCCAAGCGCAAGGTCCAGCGAGGCTCCTGGGCTGGGGTCCCTGTCCGAGCCCACTGTCCTGCCTGCACCAGGTGCTGGCTGTGGCTGGCCTCAGGAGCCCAGGGGCAGGGGCTGGTCTGGGGCAGGTGCCTTGGCCCTTGGGTCACTGCACTCCTCTGGCCCCACTGACTGCTGTCCTGAGAGCCCGCTGGAGCTGGGCGGCCTGGGCACTGCAGACCCTGGGAGAGGCCTGGCAGGCTGGGGCTGCCGGGAGCCCAGGGCAGGCCCTCCACGCACCCTCCAGCCTTTGCCCATGGCCTGGCCTGACCTAGGGCTCCACGGGTCATGACTCTGCCCCCCTGCACAGAAAAAGGGCAGCAAACTAAAGAAGGCAGCCAGCCTGGAGGAGGGGCGCGAGGACCTGGACTCCCCAGCAAGCCAGAGCCGAGGGTCAGTGCAGTCCTGAGGACCTGACGGCTGCGGGCCCCTCTCTGTCCCCGCAGGGCGGTTTCACTGAGGCTGTCCTCTGAGTGCAGTGGGACGGGGGCAGGTGTGGGGTCCCCCTCCCAGCCCCATCTGATGCCCGTGGAAGCAGCAGGGGATGAGGCTGTTCTGCAGACCACAGCCAAGTGGGACGGGCGGACCAGCGCGGTGACCCCAGAGAGTCTAGCAGGGTTGGGCTGGGACGTGGCAGGGGCCAGGAGGAGCAGCATGACTCTGAGGACCCCAGGATCTCCCAGGCCCAGACCCTGCTCTGCCCACCAATCCCACCTCCCTCCTCCTGAGGGCTCCCCCTCGTGCTCTCCCCAGGGAGGGTGTCCGTGCCAGGCCTCAGAGGTCCCCACCAGAGCAGCTCCTGCCGGGCCAGGGCCGGCCACCAGGGTTGGCGCCATTCCCATGCGTCCACTGCTTCTTGTGGCAGCTCTGGGACATGGCACCTAGCAGCAAGGAGCGCCTCTCCCCGCACCCCCTCCCTTCTCCCCACCAGGCCTTGTCCCCTGTCCCTGTCCCTCCCACTGTCCCACCCACCCCTCTCCCACCCTTCCACCTCTTCATTGCCACTTCCACCTGGGTGCACGATGGCACCTGCTTGAGACTCTCCTGTGGTAAACCTTCCAACGTCCCTGCCCAGAATCCTCCAGAAACCCTATGGGCCTCAAGTGCCATTGGCCAGGGTTCGTGTTCCTCTCACTCATGCCTGCAAGTGCCCAGGGCCTTGACCTGCCAGTGGCTCCTGGCCAGCCCATGTCCAGCAGCCTGGGTGTGCCCCGCCCCATCCCAGTACCCAAAGAGCACGGTCTGGGGACCTGACAGATTTGCTCGAGCCCTGGAGCCTGGCTCAAGGGGCTGGGCACCCAGAAGGCCCCGAAGGTGGGTGCCAGCCACAGGGCCCTGACCGCTCCTGTGTGCGCCCTGCAGGACAGCCCGGCAGAAGAAGACCATGCAGCTGTCCCGGGCCCTCTCGGACCTGGTGAAATACACCAAGTCCGTGGGCACCCACGACGTGGAGACGGAGGGTGAGGTTCGCAGGTGGGGCGGCACGCTGGGAAGGCCAACGGCTGGTGTGCACCCGAGGCCTGGACTCACGCCGGCTGGTCTGCACACAGTGGTGTCCAGCTGGCAGGTGTCGTCCTTCAGCGAGACCAAGGCCCACCAGATCCTGCAGCAGAAGCCGGAGCAATACCTGCGCTTCAACCAGCACCAGCTCTCCCGCATCTACCCCTCCTCCTACCGGGTCGACTCCAGCAACTACAATCCGCAGCCCTTCTGGAACGCAGGCTGCCAGATGGGTGGGTGGCTGGCGGGGCAGCAAGGAGGGGCCTGCCTGGCCCAGACCATCCCTGCAGCCCAGCCTCCCCTGATCCGAGGCCTTGGAGAGCTTCCAGGCCTGCTGCTGCTCCCCGAGTGGGTCCCCAGGGGTCCCCCAGACCTCAGGCAGCCTGGGAAAACAGCCGGCCTGCCCCAGCTCCTGGGGTGTGCGGGACTGGGCCAGGCTTGGGCACCTTCTGCCAGTTCACGTGCCCCATCTCATGGCCGTGAGCCTCAGGGCCTGCACACAGAAGGCAGTGGCCGCAGGTTGGGGGGACACAGGCATGTGGACAGCTGCTGACCCAGAGGTTCTCCTGTCCCACCCACAGTTGCCCTGAACTACCAGTCAGAGGGGCGGATGCTGCAGCTGAACCGGGCCAAGTTCAGTGCCAACGGCAGCTGTGGCTACGTGCTCAAGCCCCAGTGCATGTGCCACGGTAAGGCCCAGGGGCTGGGGCAGGCTCCTGCAGGACCCCAGGAAAGTGGGGGTGGGTGCCTCCCTTTGGGGCAGCAGAGACCCCAACATGGCAGGAAGCTGGAGGTTCATGGGCAGAACTTGTCTGCGCGAGCCCTGGTGGGCAGGAGCCCGGTGCAGGCCGGGCGTTTCGCGGAGCCCCCTCCTGTCAACCTAGTTTTCTGCCTGGTGTGCTCATGTACCCGCGGGCTTTCCCATGACTCCGCCCTCTCTGCACCGTCTGGGTCCTGCTGGACAGTGTCACTGCAGAGCTCGAGGTTGAGGTCATTAAGCCTGACAAGCCCGGCTTCCCGGTTGCCGGTCACCCCACTCATGACGCTGCCCCCACCAGGCCACGGCTCCCAGGGTAGTCTGTTGGAGGGGGCCGCGTGCAGCCTGCGCCCCGGGGTGTGGCAGGCCTCGCTGGAGGCTGTCCCGCTCTGCCTCACACTGTCCCTCAGGCGTCTTCAACCCCAACTCTGAGGATCCCCTGCCCGGGCAGCTCAAGAAGCAACTGGCCCTGAGGATCATCAGTGGGCAGCAGCTCCCCAAGCCGCGGGACTCGATGCTGGGAGACCGCGGGGAGGTAGGGCAGGCACCTGCAGACGGGACGTGGGGGGAGCACCTGGCCCTGGTGCCAGCCCTGTCCTGTCCCCAGATCATTGACCCCTTCGTGGAGGTGGAGGTCATTGGGCTCCCTGTGGACTGCAGCAAGGAGCAGACCCGAGTGGTGGACGACAACGGTGAGTGCCCTGGGCGCGTGACAGCACCAGCCTGTGCCCCAGGGCCCGGCCCAGTGCCCCCACCGTCTCCCCTCCCGTTGGGCAGAGGGAGTAGCCCAAGGGCCTCAGGGTGGGAGCCTGCTGGGGACAACCCCGGCCCCTGTGACCCTCGCCCCGGCGGCCTGCAGGGTTCAACCCCATGTGGGAGGAGACCCTGGTGTTCACAGTGCACATGCCCGAGATCGCACTGGTCCGCTTCCTCGTCTGGGACCATGATCCCATCGGGCGAGACTTCATTGGCCAAAGGACACTGGCCTTCAGCAGCATGCTGCCAGGTGGGCAGGGGCCCAGGCTGGGGGGGTCCCGGGGGTCCCGCCCCACTGCACCCCCAGCAGCCCTCATGCATGCTGGCGCCCCACCCCCCTGGCTGAGGGCTCCAGGGCAGGGTGGGCTGAGTTGGCACTGCTGGGGGGCAGCGGTGCCTGATGGAGGGGTCTTATGAGGCTGGACTCAAGGCTCGGGACCTTTAAGGAAAGGTGGAGGAGCAGGGACAGGGGAACGTGACGCTGTGCCCTGGCTGCCCAGGCTACCGGCACGTGTACCTGGAGGGGATGGAAGAGGCCTCCATCTTTGTGCACGTGGCTGTCAGTGACATCAGTGGTAAGGTGAGTGTGGCCTGGCGGGAAGGGCTGTGGCCAGGGGAGGGCTGCTCCCGCTCCTTACCCACCCCCACCCTCGGCATTGTGGCCTGGAGACCAACTCTCTGGTCCCCTCTACCTGTGACATGGGGTGTTGGGGGATGCCACCCCAGAGCCTCCCAGTACTGGGCCCAGGTCTCAAAGGGGATCTGGGCAGCCCAGGGCAGGTGTGAGCTAAAGGTCCTTGACCCAAGAAGGGAGCCCCTGTGTCCCCCCCTGCCCTCCTGTGTTGCCAGTGCCAGGCTAGCCTCCGTCTCCCTGGTGGCCTTGCCAGGGGTGCCTGGCTGCCTTCTCATGAAGGGTGAGAAGAACTTACCGCCCTTCCTGGGGCTCTCCCTCCCTCTCCCGCCGGCCCAGGGCAGGATCTGCCTGGACTTGCCCATTACCTGGCCCCCAGCACATTTGCCCCTGCCCAGACTAGGGCAGGATGGGGGTCTCAGCTTTTGGAGCCTGGCTACTCTGGTTCTGAGTGGGCCTGGCATCCTTAGGGTCCTGCCCAGGACCAGCACTGACCTTCTCTCCTGCCATGTCTGCGGGCCCAGAGGCTCTGCCGGCTCCAGCACTCTTGTGCCACTGTCTGTCCGTCTGTCACGTGTCTGCTGTCTCTGCGGCCCTGGGTCCCCTCCCCACACAGTCGGGGCCTCGCCACCTTCACTCTGTCTCTTTGGTCTTACAGTGGGCTTCTCTGTGTCCAAAGTCTACTTTTAGACGTGCGGCCTTGTTAGGAGTCACAAGGTACCCTGCTGCTGCGGGACAGTGTAGCCCGCCGCCCACCTGCATGCCAGGCCGCATCCCATTAGCATCCATGGTTCCTGGTAGCATTTTGGAGACTGTCCGTTCATGTGACATGGGTCATGACATGGTTCCGGGGTCCCCTGGGCCATCCTCAGCCAGACAGCGGCATTTACGAGGCAGATCCAGGATTGAGCCAAGGCCACGTGCTTCCCCGCTGTCCTGTCTCTCCACCCACTGCCCTCTTCTGTCCGGAGCTCTCCTGGGCTCCCTGTGCCCCTTCCGTTCTCCTCCCCCCACCTTCCCTCTCCATCCCTCCTCATGCTGCGACTTTGCCACTCCTGATCCTGCCAGGGCCTGGGGTGGGGCCACCTGGGCAGGAGCTCCGAGCCGGAATCCTGGATCTCCTTCTAAATGGCTTCCAGCCACATGGACCAAATTGCACTGGGTTTGGGATCTTGAATCAGGAAGCTGATTCAAGTGTGGCCACTTTACTGCCTCTGCCACTGGGGCCCTAGGCCACTCCGCGCACGAGCACAGCCCGGCCTCGGGGAGCGGTGGGTGTTGTCGGGGCCTCTGTGGGATGCAGGGTGTTTGGCATGTGAGGATCCTCCTGGCCTCTGCACTGTGAGATGCAGCTGGCCAGCCTTCTCCAGCAGTGACCCAGGAAGGGGCTACAGGAGAGAGGCCTGTGGAGGGACCTTCCAGCCCTGGTGGCCAGGGAGCTGGGCTGTTGTCTGGAGCTGGAGGCCTGGAACCCGAGCCTTCTTAGGCAGTGGTCCAGAGCCCACATGGTAGGCCCAGGCTCGATGAGCAGAGAGCAGTGGGAAGGCTGCCTGGGAGGGATGGCCCCTCCAGGCAGGAGCACCACTGGGAAGCAGGTAGGTCAGGGCCTGTGGTCGAGCAGGCCTTGGCCAACCCAGGGACTGGCTTCTGTGGATGCTGGTGCCCAGGATGGGTGGCATGACCCATGACCCTGAAGTCTTCCCCTCGAGCCAGGGCTGCAGGTGTAAGGTGTGCTCGCCGGGTTCTAGAGTTTGAAATCTGTCCTTGAGAGACCCCAGGAAGGGTGTCCTCTCAGTCCCCATGTTCCCGCCACCTCCGAACTCCACCCAGAGTTCAGGAAGGGGCTGATGCTCAGTCTGGACGGTGCGGTCCTGCCATGCTGGTGGAGTGGCCATGTGGCCTGCTCCCTGTGGCTCGCGTCCCACGTGCACTCCTGGCTGGCCCCAGCCCACCGTACTTGAGCTACAGCTACACTGGGCTCGGTACCCCCAGCGCCAGCTATGCGGGCTCCTTCTCTTGCAGGTCAAGCAGGCTCTGGGCCTAAAAGGCCTCTTCCTCCGAGGCCCAAAGCCAGGCTCACTGGACAGTCATGCTGCTGGGCAGCACCCACCCCGGCCCTCCGTTAGCCAGCGGCTCCTGCGGCGCACGGCCAGTGCTCCAACCAAGAGCCAGAAGCCGGGCCGCAGGGGCTTCCCGGAGCTGGCCCTGGGCACGCAGGACACCGGCTCCGAGGGGGCAGCTGACGACGTGGTACCCCCCAGCCCTGGCCCTGCTCCCGAGGCCTTGGTGTGTGAGGGTCCCAGCAGTAGCAGCCCGCGAGGTAAGACGTCAGCAGAGAGGAGCCCAGGGCAGGTGCGGCCCCCGTGTGCCCCTGAGGGCCCCGGGGCTGCCGGGATGGCCGCCACATGCATGAAGTGTGTGGTGGGCTCCTGCTCCGGTGTGGACGCTGAGGGCCTGCCGAGGGAGCAGCTGCCCAGCCTGGGGCCTGCTGGAGGGCACACGGCCATCAGCCAACAGCCCCAGGCCCGGGCAGACTTGCTAGGGGACCCCCACTGCAACCTGGGCCCTCAAGCCACCCCAGGGAGAAGCAAGGAGGCCTTCAAGGGCCCCGGGGCCCGGCGGCAGGGTCTAGGCGGCAGCGGCTCCGTGTCCTCGGACTCCAGCAGCCCGGACAGCCTGGGGAGCCCCAAGGTGGTCCCCTGCCAGCCTGAGGGTGCTCACAGGCAGCCGGGGGCCCTGCAGGGAGAGATGAACGCCTTGTTCGTTCAAAAGCTGGAGGAGATCAGGAGTAACTCCCCCATGTTCTCCGCGGGTAAGGCAGCTGCCCCCCCCGCAGCCTGTGTTTGCACCCCGGCATGCCTGGGCCAGTGTCCCTGCCTTGCTGCCCCCTTGCTGTGCTCCTGCATCTCTGCTGGCTTGACCCGCAGCCCCACCTGCCCCAGCCCTCTCCCTTGAGCAAGAGGCCCTGGCACTTTGGAGGGGTGGGGACCTGGGGAGTGGGAGTCACCAGTGGCCTTACTGAGAGCCTGGAGATGCACGTGGAGGCTCCCTGGCTGGGCCCCACCCCCTCCTGGGTCCAGGCAGCTTCCAGTCCTCACCTGACCGTCCTCCAGGACGAGGTTCAGAGTCACCCTGCCACAGACCCTCTCGGGTAACCTGTCAGTCAGGGTACAGCCATAGGACAGCATCCAGGTTGTCCCCAGGGACCCTGAATGATGCTCAGAGCCTTGAAGTGGGGCCTCGGAGTTTGAAAGTGCAGAGGAGCAGGTCCCATGTGTCCCTGGGGCCCTGGACCTGTGACTGTCGGATGGCATGGAGCCTCCAGGTGCGCAGCCTTCAGGCAGACAGCTGCTGGCCTGCCCTGGCTCAGTTTGCTGAGCCCCAACCCAGCGGGAGGGACGGGCGCCGAGCCTTCCCCTGCCACCATGCTCCTCCCTCACCTGCCAAGCCTTGCTGTCCGTCTGTCCATCTGCCAGACCCACCCCGTGCTGACCACGTTCTCCTTTCTGTCCCCGCACCCCGTGCTGCCTCCGTAGTTAGGGACTGAGAGCTGCAGTTCCAGGTAACAGGCCCAGCCCCGCGTGCCCCTTGTTGCCCTGGCCCCAGAAGACCCGTTCCTGGCCTGCCAGCCAGACCCCTGTGGACTCTGCACATGAGTGGACACAGGGCCGGGCACCTTGCCCACTGGCTCCCAGCAGCGGTGGGGAGGGGGCACTGGCACTCTGAGCAAGCTGTGTGGGATGTGTGCAAATGGACCAGCCTGGTTGCTGGGCAGGCCCTGGGTGGGGAGCCGGCCCGACTGCCCCTTGGCACAGAGGGTCACGGGACACCATTTCTTGACACGACTTTTCCTCCCTGTCCTGTCTCCCTGTCTCTCTCCCTTCCCCCGTGTCCCCGTCTCTCTCTTCTCTCTGTCACTCCCCTCGCTCCCTCTTCCCCCAGATGCTCGCCCCTTCTCTCTGCAGCGGTCAATCTCCCCTCTGTGCAGCCTGGAAACCATTGCCGAGGAGCCGGTCCTGGGCCCTGGCCCCCCACCACAGGCAGCTGCCCCCACCAGCTCCCACAGGGAAGGGCCCCAGTCCCCTGCGGGACCTGGAGCCAAAGTGGCCAGCACACCACGGACTGCTCTGGGAGCCTCTGAGCCCCTACAGCTCAGAACCCGGCATGAAGGGGACCTCGAAGAGCCCCCCAGGGAGCCGCGCCATGGTGGTGCCAGCGGGGCATGCCCAGGGTCCCCTGTCAGCCAGACGCACAGCAAGAGCCATCCCCAAGCCCTGGGTCACCTGCCCATGGTCAGAAGAGCCAAGAGTGAGGGCCAGGTGCTGCTGGAGCCCCTGGGTCCCTGGCGGCCCCTGGCCGGGCCCTCCCCGACCCCAGCCATGCACTCAGACGCCACAGGCAGTGACCGGCTGTGGCAGCGGCTGGAGCCAGGCAGCCACCGTGACAGTGTGTCCTCGTCCTCCAGCATGTCTTCCAGCGACACTGTCATCGACCTCTCCCTGCCAAGCCTGGGCCTGGGCCGCAGCCGTGAGAGCCTCACTGGGGGCCCGCTTGGACGTCTACCCCCAAGGCCCTGCTCAGCCTCGGCCACTCGCCCTGACCGGCCACCTGTGACCAAGAGCAAATCGAACCCCAACCTGCGGGCCGTGAGCCAGCTGCCTCCTGTATCTGATGAGCTGCGGCCCCGGCCCCTGGCCCCACGCCCGCCCGGCCTCCACGCCCGGTCACCCTGGGGCCGCCTCACCCTGGTGGGCTTGCAGGACTGCCCCGCGGCTGCCAAGTCCAAGAGCCTGGGGGACCTGACTGCCGCCGACTTTGGCCCCAGCTCTGAGGGGAGCTCGTGCAGCCTGAGCCGCAGCCTGGGCGCCCCGGGCCAGGCTGGGCAGGAGGTGCAGCCGGACGCACTGACGGAGCAGCTGCGCTGGCTCGTGGGCTGCGGGCAGGCCGGGGACATCGCATCACCCAGGGCTCTGGGCCCAGCTGGGGAGGGGTCAGTGGGGGGTCCGGGCTTCTTGCGGAGGTCCTCCTCCCGAAGCCAGAGTCGCGTGCGAGCCATTGCCAGCAGGGCCCGCCAGGCCCAGGAGCGGCAACAGCGGATGCGGAGCCTGGGCCAAAGGGGCCCCCCGGAGGAGCGGGGCACCCCCGAAGGCGCCTGCTCCGTGGGCCACGAAGGCTTCACGGACACACCCGCCCCCTCCAAGGGCACCCTGGAGCAGGTGTCCAGTGCGGCCGACGGCTTGCTCCTGCTGAGGCTCTGACCTGCTCTGGGCTGGCGCCCAGCCCCTGACCTGCTGTCAGCTGGGGGCCGGAGGCACTGGCTTTGGTGTCCAGCGTTTGCTCAGGAAATGGAGCAGCCAGGTCCCCCCCCACCCCACCCCCCCGCGTTCGCCTGGCGTACCCAGCAGCGTGCCCCTGGGAAGAAGGGGCTGCAGCTGCCCGCCAGGGCCCCAGAAGATGGCCTTGAGCTGGCCCTGGCGGGCAGTTTTCTCACTTTGAGCGTGGAGGTTTACATTTCTAGAAGTCCATCTATACCACATTAAAGTGACCCGAGCCCCTTCCCACCATTCCAGCCAGCTTCCACCTGTGGGGGTGTGGTGTGCGTCTGCTCTGGCTCTCCAGCTGCTGTGCGCCTGTCCCTGGAGCGGCTCCACGTCTGTCCCGGGCCCCACCCTCACTGCACTCGCTGCTCTGTGCGACTGTCCTCTTCCCTGGATATCCAAAGACTCCTTGTAACTCCCCACCACAACTCCCAATAAACGTGTCCACGCCAGTTCTGCGTGGGACCCACCTGCTTCCTGGTCTTTCTGGGCTGCTCCCGACACTGCCCCAGCCCAGTCCTTGAGGGGACAGGCCTTGCTCTGGGTGGGGGCCCTGGCCAAAGGCCCCAGCTGAGGAGGCTGTTGTGCCTCTGAGCCTCACAGTGTGTCCCTCCCCTGGAAAGCTGGGGTGCTGACCAGGCCATGGGACTGTGCTGGGGCCTGTCCTCCGCCTGCCCCCAGGGGAGATGGATGTGGGACAGGAGTCCCAGGGAAGCCAGGCCTCGGTGTCTGCTGTTCCTCGAGACTTCACAGCCTGCTGCTGGCCCAGGAAGACCACCTGGCCCCCAACAGGAAAAGCACTGTCTCTGGCTGGGACCCTTGGGAAAGTGGGCACTGGGCACGGTGGCTGCAGTTCAGCTGGAAACGTCTGAGGCGGGTATCTCTGCCCTGTGTCCCCTTGAGCAAGAGGCGTGGCCAGCCACAGGGGCTAGTGCCAACTTCTCCCCAGCTCAGCAAGGCCAGCCACACCCTGTTTCCTCCAGACCTCCCAGGCCTGGCCAGACCTTGACCTCCTTGACCCTGGGGGCATTTGCTTGTGGGAGCTGAGGTGCCTGGAGGGTGTCCTGTCTGCCTGGGGCCAGGGAGGAGCCTGGCTGAGGAACCTGAGCAGCTCTTCAGACGGAGGACAGGATAGGGCTGGTATGGACACTGCTGTGCCAGGCTGTTGACCAAGGTCTTACAGTGAGAGGTGGTGGCCACCCGCAGGGAACAGGGCAGGGGGCTAAAGCCTTTCTGCTCAAGATGGGAAAAATCAGGAGGTCACTGGGCGGGGACTGTCGTTGGCATGCAGGACACTGGCTCAGGACAGCCCCTCCATGCAGAGGACACAGGCAGGCCCCGGGTAGAGGGTGTGCTGGAGTGTGTCCACAGCTTGTTCCCCTCAGCCTAAGGCCCTCCAGGCTGCTGTCCACTTCCCCACCTCCTCCTGAGAGCCCAGCCTGGGGAGGTAGGAGACCCGGGAGCCATCAGAAACCCCAGAGGAGCCAGTAGCCAGCTTGAGCCAGGCAATGGGGGCCTCCGCAGAGGACCATCTCCCCAGGTGGATGTGCTCCAGGACCCAGCAGGGCGAACAGGGCCAGACTGCCTGGGGTGTACACAGGAGTCAGAGGGCAGGAGGCCAGAGGCTGCCCTGTCAGAGCTGAGGCCTAGGGAGCGCTGACCTTCGATGGGGTCAGTAAGAGGCTCCAGGCAGCCTGGCCTGGTGACTTAAGACCCTCTGGGAGGAGCTGGGAGCAGGCAGGGCCTCTGCCCTGGGGAACCAACTTCAAGATGGGCCTGGATGTCACTCAGGCTGCACAGTGACACTTGCTGCCCCCTGGTGGCCACCTGTGAGCAGCCAGGTCTGGAGCTGGACCACAATCACCTGCACATAGGGCTGGGGCCAGGGTGGCGCCACTGAGCACTGGAGTCACACAGCAGGTCTGGTGGGGCCCATCCTGAGTCCCAGGGCAGAACACAATGGTGGGCACCTGGATGGCCACTGGACACCTGGGCAGCAGGCCCTAGCCCCAGGCAGGGAAAGGAGGTGGGGCCAGGCTCCAAGACACCTGGCCTGGACTGCTTGGGGTGTGCCCGGGCGTCTGCCCTCAGACCCCTCCACACAGCTCTGTCTGGGCTCTTCCTGGCCTGGGGTCCCACTGGAGCGTGAGGGGAGGCTGTGAGGGAGGCAGAGTGGCAGTCACGGCCCATGGCAGCCGCTTGCCTTGTCCCTGGTGGGCCATTTCCCAACCTGGGGTCTGGCAGAGCTGGCAGTCGCTCAGGTGCAGGAGCAGGAGCAGCCCAGCCTGGGAGGCCAGAGCCCAGGGGCCTGCGCCCACCCCCACTGAGCTTCCCTGCTGTCCTGGGCACCTGCCTGCAGTAGACCGGGAGGGTCTCTGGCCACATCTGGGCGAGCCCTGCTGAGGGAGGAGGCCCGGCCTTCAGTGCTCCAGATGCCCTGGGCTCGAGGCCACAAAACCCAGAGGGTGCTCCGCTCTGCCCTGGCTCCCGCTGAGAGCCCTCAAGGGCCAGAGAGGCCACGGCCTCCTCCTTGCATGCTCTTGAGGCAGGAGGCTGCTCCACACCTCACACTGTCCACAGTCCCCAAGGGCAGTGGGGTGGGAGGGACAGTGAGTCTGCTCCCGGTGCCAGACAGGAAAAGCGGGGACCACTGGTGGAAGTCAGAAGCCGTGGGGAGCTCAAGTGCTCAGTGCCCAGCACCTCCCCGAGTGGAGGAGGGGGGTCAGCTGAGCCCACACCTCTTCCCGCCAGCCCGTGTGCCCAGGCGCGGCACCCCAGCAGGCGCATGCGGAGGTATTCATATATTTATATGTGTGTGTGTATATATATATAAAAGATTATTAACAGTTAAATACATTCCACTTGGAGCGTCTCGAGAGACACACGTGGCAGCGGCTGACACAGCAGCACAGTGCGGACACTTGGTGGGCGCAGGTCCCTGCTGCACTGAGAGCCTCTCCAGAGGGGCCAGAGCTGGGCCTCACTCGGCTGGGACCTCGTACTTGAAGATCACGCTGAAGAGCCGGCCACCCAGGCGCTCGGCCAGCCAGGCGTTCTTGACCACAGCCAGCTTGAGGCTCTCGCAGCGCAACGCTGCGTGGTAGTTGGTGTGCACGGCACGGCCCATGCCCTCGATGACCACCAGATCCGCACCCCGCTCCCGAGCCAGCACGGCCAGTCCCTGGTCCAGACGGCTTCCGGGAGGAAGGCACAGCAAGATCAGGCCAGGGCCAGCCGAGGCCTGTGCTGACCACACCCAGGAGTCCCAGGCCTGCTTCCCGCAAAGGCAGCGCCTGGCGAGAGCACTGGGAACCCTGTCCCTACTGAGTGGGGTCTGCCCGGCCGCTGCCTCCCCCGCCAGTTGCTACTATTCCACTTGGACGCTGCTGCTGCCAGCCACCCTCCTGAGCTTGACCATGAAGACCTCAGTCCTTCCCACCCTTCATGCCTCCTTCCTGCCTGCTCCCAGGGGTGCCTCAGCTCCAGGGCCAGCAGGCACAGGAAGCACTGCACATGTCCAGCCAACCCACAGGGAATATGGGGCAGACCCTCAGCACCTGCCTGAAGTTGCTGAGGCCCAGAGACCAGCATGTTCCTGAGGTTGCCTCAACCTTGAGCCCACTGACCCCAAAAGGTTCCAGGCAAACATGGCTACCCAGGTCTGCAATTGGGGCAGGGGACAGGCAGTGCTGGCTTCTGCTGTCTTGCAGAGCCTGGCAGGGAGCGGGGGGCCACTGGGGTTACCTGAGGTCGAGGCATGGGGAGCTGGAACCCGTCTGTACCAGCAGCAGCCGCTCCTCTTGGAGTGCAGAGCTGTGGGTCACCAGGAGGTCACTGGCCAGTGATGTGGCAGACAGGTACTCTCCTCTGTCTACCTCCCAAGACCCGCCAGACCCACCCCTTGCCAGCTCAGGGCTGCAGCCGGCACCTACTTACTGGACAACAGGGTCCATGGCTGCAATGCGGTCGGCCACGATGAGGGACTCGCTGTAGGTCACATCGTTCAGGGCAGGGCCCGAGTTGCACGCCAGGATAACCTGTAGGGGCCCAGACTCTTCGGTGCCTTGGCCGGGGCCCAGCATGGAACCAGCCTGTGATCCTGTGATCACCCAGGTCTTCCCTGTCCCAGCGCCAAGAGGTCAGCTGCTGAGGAGCAGGGCCCCAGAGTGACCGCACCCGCTCCATGGCCTCTGGGAAGGAGCAGACGCCCAGCAGCAGCGCTGTGCTCCAAGTGCGCCCTCGACCCTCCCTGCCTCTGGGTCAGGGTGATGTCATATTTTTCCCCCATCCAGCACCACAGCTTTCCAGAGGACTGTGGGGCCATCCCTGGGTATGAACAGATGGATCCAAGGCCCTGGGTGGGGCCAATCCACCACAGGCCCAGGCCCTCCTGGCCTCACTGCACCTACCCACAAGAGCGAGCGGAGAGGCCCAGGGAAGGGTCCCACCCACACGGCCTCCTCACTCACCTCTGTCCCTCTAAAGAGTAGCTCCCTGACAAAGGGGAAGACTCCCAAAATGATGTCTATTCCACTGTTATCTGCGAAAATTAAGGCACATTTATGAGGGGGCCCCTGCAAGACAAAACCAGGACGTTCAGTTGGGAACAGGCGCATCAGAGCCTTCGACACCACTGCACTCATGCCCCCTAGGGCGGGGCCCGGGGCTGGTCCCAGCACACGGCAGGTGCTGGGACAGGCAACCCCAGGGGCCCCGCTTCTTCCAGCACAGCAGGCCCAGAGGACTTCTGTATTAAGGCCAGCTGACCTGAAAAGTGGCGGCTGCAGGTCAGGCAGGGAGTGGGGACATTTGACATGAGGTTCTTGGCTGCGGGACTGTGAGCTCTAAGAGGCAGGGCTGCGTGCACCGCCTGCGTCCTGGGCTAGCCAGGGCAGCTCCACACCCACCTTCCAGGGCCCCATGCCCCCTCTGACTACCCACCTGGGTCCCACCTGAGGCCCCAGGCTGGCTGTCCCCAAGGGCAGAGGCAGAAGGAAACTGCACATACCTTTAATCTCTGAAGCCACTTGTTGAAGGAGTCCACGAGCCAGGGTCGCTCTGTGTGGAGAGAGGGGAACATGCTATCAGGAGGAAGCCGGGGAGACGCTGGCCAAGGCTCCTCCAGGGACCGCTTCCCCACTCCTGAGCCCAGACACAGCAACCACTGAGGGATGCGCCCAGGCTGACGCTGACTGCTGCACCCAGGACAAGAGCACCTGGGATGTCCTACCTTGTAACTTCCTCTTTGCCTCTTCAAACCCAAACTGGGGATCAGACTCAAGGACACTAGATGGAGAAGAAAGAGAAGAAAAGAAGTTAGGAAAATGGAACCAAGAACTTGGGTCCACGCTGTTTAAGGAGCTCGCCCAGATGAAGCATCTCCAGCGCGAGCAGGCCAGCTGCCCCTGACCCTCAGCAGCACTTGCCAGAGCCTCGGCCACCAGCCCCAGGAAGCAGCTTCT